GCTTTTCCTGGAAAATTCCAGGAAGGTCTGAGAGCTGTGATTCGTGTTAAGAGCTCGCTTTGCCCAGCCTTTCCCTTTAACCATTGACTAAGTTACTTGGTATCCCTGCACTGCATTTTCCCATTTCTAAAGTGAAGATGTCCCTTGAAAGACGTGTTACGTTTCATTCTGTGATGAAGATGGAAAGGTAATGGAAGCATCTGGCAATACAATGACCAGTCAGTGCTTGCACTCTAGGGTAATTTTGGGCACACAAATACAAACAGATATAAGCACTGGAAGAGTTATAGCTGTCCTTTAGTATTCTCCAACTTTCTGTGGCAATGATATAGCTTTTTTCAAAACCTTGCTTCACTTCCTTTCCTCCTTGAACTACTTTAATCCTTTTTTTCCCCCTTTTCAAAAATAGTATTCTCCCTGGCCACTCTGTACTGCAACTCTGTCAAATGGTATATTCTACCCTCACCTACTTTGTGACAGTCTCATTCTCTTTAGAAATGGTAAATTTGTCTCAGTGGTACATGTCAGCTAAGCCTTCTCCATCCCATGCTCCATATGAAAAAGCCCTGTCATCCAGAGCTGACTGAAGAGGAAGGTTATCTAAGCCCATATTTTAGACGAAGGAAAAACATTTGTTCATTTAAATGTATGATAAATTATTGAAGGATGGCCTAGAAGAATATAAACTAAAGAACAATTTTTGATGTGTARAAATCCTGCAATTAATTCTCTACGAAGTTTTTTTCAAAATCATCCTTAATTTGAGACCACAAGTTAGCAAAGAAGTGTAAAGATAACGCTATTCCCTCYGGCAGGGTTGAACATGAATTAAGATTGCCTGTGCCAAAGGCTCTTTCAAAGATTCAGGTCTCCTCTGACAAAAGCATATGTCCACCTAGCATGGGACCCACACTGACACAGTACCTCAGAGAAACACAGTTATGCTTAACTACAGTGTAAGTTATAATTTCCTCTTCTTTTCTCCTTTATTTGCCCCTTCTTCCTTCTGCYGTTTCCAAATTATGGAAAACACTGTGGGTTTAATGTATAGCTTATATTTGGGTACCTGCCATTGTTAGAAATATAGAAAGGACTTTTACTGAGCCATTCAAAGTTTCATTAACATYCTCAAAATAACTAGAATTTTGAACAGCTTTAACACTAATACAGAAGAGTAGAGATCTGTCAGGAAGAGAAAAGCGTAAGTGAAGGCACAGCCTAAGAATATCACCAAGAGTAAGGTTTTACTACAGACAGGTAACATTTATCAATTCAAACACAGGCTTGGAAAGTATTAAGGGAGCTTKTATGGAAATCTATGTATATATAACATAGATTTAATAGATGTCAAATAACAGAGATAAATCTGCTTCTTTACCTTGTGTATGATGGGTTCTTACTCTACCAGGTTGATATTTTGGAGAAAGGAAGCGAACTTTGGCTTAAATGTTGCTAYAGATTGCAGTTGAGTAGATAACTGAAAGCTATGCTAGGTGAAGACGATGAGGCTAACACTGAACTACAGAGAATTATAGACCTTTGTTGACAGAACCTCTATCTAATTTACAAAACAGGGTAATGTGCTTTGCTTTATCTAACCTACATGATAAAGCAGGGAGTCTTAGAGGAAAATCAGTGCGATGTATATTTAACTTTCTTTGAAGTGGATGAAAACGTCATAGGATGATTCAACGTATTCCCTTTGCAGGCTTCCTTCAAGAGTTTTGGGAATGCTTTTGGCAGAGATTCACRCATTTGCTCTGATTCAAGCCCCTCGTGGAAAAATGATGTTGAAAGCACTGCTTACTGTTCAGAAACATATAGGGATGGTAACGCTATCCTCTAATAATAAAATTGCATAATTTATATTAGTAATATTTTTTCTGTTGCTCCAGTACCTTTAAACCCCTACAGTCACTATATGAAAACAGAGACTGAAGTCTTTGTCCRGAAAGTTTAAAGTCAAAATAACAACTTGTCACTGTGCATGTAACATAGACATTTCACACTTTGCATGATTATATTGCAAGATTGCCTTAAACATTAGGTATACATAAGAAACACAAAGTAAAGGAACTTACTAAAAACTAAGCAAAATAAGCCCCTGAAATAATAGTGTACATTCTGTATTCATTTTCAGTATTTCATGGAAAAAAAATGGCACTCGTATTATGTTAAATATTGGATATTTAACACAGAACTGGTGGATTTCTAGATGAAAGAAAATAAATAGTAATGTATCCTCCGAAAGAATGACATTCTGTTTTTCTAACTTCTTACTGAAAAAAAAAAAAAACCTTTGCATCTCTTTGGCCTTTCCAACCAAGGCATGTGACTAGAAAGCTTTAACCTATTTGCCGGGAGATCTAATTTTTAATCACAAATTTAATATTGCATTCATTGCRTCCTGGCATTTTTCTTATGAACTGTATATATGCATTTGTTGCAGTTTATCCTACTAAATTATAACTCGACCTGACAGACCAGCAATTTGCAGTAGTATTTCATGTTTTTTAAATTGTTTACATTGATGTGAATCATTCAGCACAATTATTCTTATTTTCCAGGSGAAGTTAGTAAGAGCTTAGCATGTTCAGCATCATGCAGAGTCCTGCCTTTAATCTCTATCTGCAAATTACATGTGGTTACTACAAGCATAGACAGGTCCAGTGAASTCTGTCACTAGATTGAATAGTGTCTTGTTAGTCTTAGATGAGAAAAAAATGCCTGTGTAATGGCATCAGCTTGTATAATAAACTCATTTTCTGTGTTTTATTCTAGTGTTGTGAAAAAATAGTGCCATCAGTAACAAATATGAATTTCAAAACAATTCAAAAATATAACCTTTTATTCTATCTGACCTCTTAAAGAAAAAGTCTGTAGTTCCTGCATGATCAGGGAGACAATGAGTTTTCTCAGGCAGCAATTTTATTTTTGCAATTTAATCAACATTTTGAAATCTCCCCTTTGAATCAAGACAAAACTAAGTCTGAATTATGTTGGTCTCCTCCAACGGAAGAGGCAGAATGGAAAGTTCAGTTAGAAACTCACCAAATCAGTGTTACGCTCAAAGCAACATTAAAATGGGCAGCTAGAAAATGAATTGTTTACTTTTGTATCAAATGACATAATTTCAGGGGGATATTAATTTTCTTATCACATTTATTTTTCCAATGCTGATTTCCTAATTGCATATTATACTAAATATTAACTTGGCTGATTTCTGTGCAGTATGCCATGAAATGAATATGTATTTCATGATACAAACATGTCACTATGGTTCTCATGAAGATTATAGGTTTGTTTCATTRAACATATTTAAGGATCTCTTAAATGTAGAACTAGTTTTGTTGATTGCCAGCACTCACTRGATATGGTAGTACTTGGGTTTTCCTTACAAAGGAACGTTTTCCTTCCTTCTGGTGTGGAAAAATAAGCAAAATATCTGAATGAAAGAATAAATCCAATACAGTGCTTCAAAAAATTATTAAAACATACTATTTCTTCAATAATTTGAACAGCATATGTCTTGAAGACATTTAATTAAGCTTCTGCATAAACAGTGTTGTTAATAGACTAGGCATTCCATTCTGTTTCCATCACACATGACGGAACCTGCTTAGACTATTTTAACATCTCTGCTTATATTTGCCAAAAAGTCCATGTTCTAATTAAACTATTTTCACCTGCATGAAGAAACTTCTCAGTTGTTTTACACATTTATGGCCCTACTTGGGGGCCTGGGTTTTTTAATGTAAAAGTTTATGGCATTTCTGAGCTCAGACTTCACCTCAGTAAAACATCTCTTTATCTGAACTGATAGCAGTACAGAAATTCATTCTTCTGACAGCCTCGGTTACGCTTTTGCAAATGGTAAAYTCTACCTCAAAGAGATATCAAAGCACAATGAAGACATGCTTGCCTTGGAAAAAAATCGGGTTTTTTTGGATAATTCGAATTCAAAACCACCAGCATGTGCCTATTAATACATTATAGATGGATATAAATTAAGGCCAACTTGGATATAAACTTGAATATAATTTTTGAGTTTGTTTTTAAAGAAAGCAAAGTTGAATATTAAGTTTATCCTTTGCAATGTTCTACAGCATTTTAAGGTTAAAAAAAAAATGGTTCTGTAGCTATAAATGTTCTTTTCTCTTTAACTTTAGTATATAAGCATTTTCTTTTGGCTTGTTTCTTCTTCAACCAAAATATTACTGCGTTGTAGAGGTTCAAAAACAAATGCGATACAGCCCTGGTCAGCCCTCTGGCACTGCTGTTTTTGCTGTTCCATGAAGCTACATGTCCTCAACATGCCCTGAGGCATAGAGAATTCGGAAAATATATGATATATATGGATGAAGTATGGTATATTGGCCAACTGGCAAATATAGGGAGAGCCGGTCGCAGTTGATGTGCTACTGCCAAAATGACGGTTCTGGCTCCTTTTGCAAACCAAGTGAACCAGGGGCAGTAACGCAGCGACCACRCAGTGAGGTCCACTCAGCCAAGTGTGGAGATGAGGTTGGCATTAGCACAACTTGGAGTAAATCTGCCCTGAGGACGACTCGTCGCCCATGTCCTCCAATGTTATCCAGGTGYTGGCCAGGGGAGAGAGTGGCCATGGGCAAGAAGGGGCCAGGTGCCCGCTGGCCCCTCTGGGACCTCTCTGAGGGGACAAGGGCCCTTTTGGCCTTGGACCCTCTCGCCAGGTGCCGCAGGGCGGCCTCGCTGCAGAGCCCTGTTGGAAACGAAGATGTSCCCGGCATGGGGTGGGAGGCTCGGGACGTTCAAGATGTCTCCGCAAGGTTAACGCCGGCCCCGCGCGCGGCCGGGGCGCTGCGGCSGTCCCTGCCCGGCCGCCTCCTCCCCGCGGCCGAGGCGGCGCCAGGGCCGGGGCCGGCAGGGGGCGCCGCGAGGCGGAGGGCGGGCGGGCGGACGGACGGGCGGTGTCTCCGCGCGCCGCCTCTCCGCGCCCGTTGCTCCGTGCGGGGCGGCAGCGGCGGCGGCTCCGCGCAGCGCCGCGCGCCATGGAGGCGCAGGCACAGGGTGAGTCCCGGCGGGACGGGARCGGAGCGGGACGGGAGCGGAGCGGGACGAGGCGCCCGGCGCTGTCCCTCGGCACCGGGCGCAGCCCGCGGTGCCCCGAGCGCTTAAAATGGGGCGGCTAAAACATTCCCGCGGCTTTGCAAGCGCAGCCGTCCTTAGGCGAGGCGAGCGGAGCGCTTCTTACRCTGCAGCTGCTAGGGCTGAGTGGTGGCGTTCTTCTATGGATCGCGGGCCGCCGCTCGCGCTCCGGGTACCGGAGCGCCTCGGCTCTCCCTGGGTGCAATTAACTGACCCGCCAGAGCGCGGAATAAACTTTTCCTGCCGGGTTTAGGGGGCCTTGGGGCCAGCACAAGGTGTTTAACCACGCAGGTCTCCCTCGCCCTTCAGCTCTGCTTCTGTTTTCTGGGGGCTGAGGACCCTCCGGCTGCACCCGCAAGCCCAGACCGCTGAGCGGGCGGTCAAACTACTTATTTGACAAGGCAGCAGGTGGAAAACTACCTCTTGGAAAGCAGCGTGGTTAGCAAACACTCTCTTGTCTGTAAGATAAACAGAGGTAAGGAGGAGGCACCTGCGTGCTGAAAGCAGGTGCGCGTGGGGAAGGACCGGGTCCCTCTTGCTGTGCCAAACTGGTGATCCTGGGTCTGGTCCGCGGGGTAAGGCGCTGTGCCCAGGTCAGTGACTCCCGCTCCGTGATCCTCAGGTGAATGATCAGTGTACGTTCAGCACAGCCAGGGGTGGGTTTTGCCTGTCGGTGTTTTGGTCAGCAACTTTTTTACTGAGTCTTTCTAGCGGTGTTACTGACGTAGGAAGATTTTTTTCGTTAATCCATTCCTCTTCTGAGTGAGTGTCTGTTGCCTAATGAGAATATTTTGTATTGTGTTAGTTTTATCTCATGAGGGTTTCTTAGTGCTTCGTTTTCCTGCATCCAGTACAGAAGCTTTTTCCTTTCTTTTTTTCCCTTTCCTTTGTAGTCCTAAACTTATCCTACCTAGTTGACAGACAAATATGGGCTCTTCAAGGCTATCCTCATTTTGTAAATGTTCTTTTTTCCCTTTCTCATCTGTGTGTTTTGTCTCTAAAGCTCCTCAGAACAGTCTCCCATTTCTTAACAACAATAATCTTTTAAAGCACTAGCAGGGAGAGCTAAAAGCGTCGTGGTATTTGCATGTCACGAAACTTCTGTTCCAAAATGTGCCCCTCTTCTTCTAGATTTAACTCRGTGCCTGTTACAGCAGCTATGGAGCCTTGCTGGCAAAAAGAATTGAACCTGAGAGTGGCTCGTGCAGTTGCATTCAATTAAGCACATTAGGGAACTGGCGAGAAATCTGATTTTTTCTGTCCTGCTATGTAATTTGCAGAACATAGTCATACAAGGTTACTAACAAAACAGTAGCAATTTGCTTTGGGGAAGAAAAAAATCTGTTGAGTTCAAGTATCTGCTTAAGCAGCAGGAGAAATGTGTATACATTTTAATGAGTTTATCAATTGCTTCTAAGGAAACTTTAGATGCCCACAGAGAAATAAATCCTGAGTAGTTTGTTCCAGTGTGTTCTGCTCAGGGATTGCCTTTTTCTGTGAAAAGAGAAGGTAAAAGCTCTAAATTTGAGAGCACTGTCAAGTTGCTCATTATTTAACACTTTGAAGATTTTCTTCAAAGGGACTTTCTGACATAATTATGTTTTTTTGTGCTGTTTTAGATTGTCCTGAAGGGATGCTGTGCCTTAGTAGATCAAGTGCATGTGCATGTTCAAGAAATACACCCCTGCAAATATAAAATGGAGATTTCTTCAGAGCAGAAAAATAATTTTGTCAGCATCTTTGCAGAGCAGCATGAATCAGCTTTATAAATCTTTCTGTGACTGTAAAAAATAAAATAAAACTAAGCTGTTATGTGTAATTACCTGCCTCATGGTACTGCCTAGAGGCCATAGCTAACACAAGGAGCGCTTTTTTGCAAGGCGCTGCGTGCAGACCTCTCTCCATGCCCAAAGACTGGGCAAGCTAAATGCTCAGGTATTTTAACCTGAAGCAGTACRGAGATTTCATGGGCTGAAATGGAATTATTATTATTATATGTAAGTATGGTTGTGTGGCATTCAGTGCTAACTAGGCAAGGCAGACTTCCAGATGAAAAATAATAGTAATTAATGTTCAAATCCTTTTGTAAGGGAATAACGGTGTGTTCCATGTTGACAAGTTTATATGTGTAAGAAACCTCATAAATTGCAATTTACATAAGTTGTAATCCTTAAGTCTCTGACTGCTTTTGTTTTTTATTACATTTCCCACTGAATTATCATATAGTGGATCCTGTGAACACACAGTTCAGCTGTACTTAGGCTAGGGGATAAAAAAAATTCTTAAGAACATACTTGTTTTCTTCCTATGACTGTCAGTCACTTCTAAAATGAAACACCCTGGAAACACAGTGTTTTTGCCTGCAAGATGGGAAGCTCCAGGCTGTGTGTTCCTGTCCCGATGCTCGCTTTGGACCCAGGCACAGCCAAACTGACTTTCTCTTGCATCCTTCTGTTACTGGCTTAAAATGGGACCTGTGCCCTAGCTTTGAGAGCACTGTGGGTGCCTTCTGTTGGGCTTTCATCTGAGAATCCCACAACTCAACCTTATTCTTATTCCTTAGTCCATTTCTCTCCTTTTGCAATACTTTATCTTCTTTTCTTTTTCTTCCTAGTTTCAGACAGGATCATACCTCCTCCTTTCCCTGTTGTATCCTGTCTCGTTTCTTCTCACGATGGAGTTTTGAAGCTCTTCTTCCTTCTGCCTACCCAATGTCCTTCCCGTAACTTCGCGTTGCGTCTTTGGAGGAACCTTCTCAACTGGTGAAACCTAGTTTGAAGTATTTGAAGGGTGCACCCAGCGCTGGCTGCTGGTTCCTTTTGGTGCCAGAGGTGCATCTACATTCCCAAGCCTATGCCTGGGCCTTAGTGCTTTGAAGGCTTCAGGATCAACTCTGTTACAGGCAGGTCCATTGCCCTTTGCCCAGCTATGGAAGGGAGCAGGAGAGTGCTTTGCAGAGGGTCAGGGGGATAGTGGGATAAATGAACCTGCCAGTGATAGCTTCAGTATTTCACTGCATGCTGGAAGTACCACGTGCCGTGTTAATAGGACCCCATGAAGATCAGGTCAAGTGAAAATGGTAGGGTTTTAATTTATGATAAAATTCTTAAATATTTAGCGAAAGTGCCCAGAGCTTGAGATAAAAAGGCTGAATGATGAAAGAGCAATTATACTAAATGGAAGGAAAATGTATGCGCAGAATAAATTATCACTAGTATTATCAGATTTTAAGGAAATAAATGTTGGAAAGGAAATGCCGTGGTTTTATTTTACCCTTTTGAACCTTCCCTGCTTTCAGCCTTAAGACACTTGTCACAGGAAGAAATTCAATTTGCTGAGGCTGAAGAAATGCAAATGCTTTCGTTGCAACATAAGAGAGCTGAAACTGTGGTGGTCTGAGATTTGGAGAAGAGCTGTAACAAGACACATCTCCTAAAATCTAGGGCCAGTTTTCTAAGACATTGCAACTTCTCCAGTTTTCCAGTGATGACAATATGCAGAACATGGAAAAAAAGAACAAACCAGCCCTCAAAATATATTTTAAGATTCTTGCACTATTTTTTTCCTCCTGTATGTTGTCATTTTCTTTGGGCAGTTTATATAGGTGCTGCTGTGAGGCAGCACAAGTAGCCCCCTATCAGCGCTCCCAAATGTGTTAGGGGAAAGATCGGGCTGCCCGTGCCCTTCTGATGCGGCTCAGTACCGATCAGGAACGTGTGGAGCTTGTGGCGCAAGCTTGGCAGAAGACTGCAAAGTGACTGAAGCGTGTTCTACGTGGCTGTATTTAGGAATTTAGTGTTTTAGTAGCTTGTTTTAGGATAATCCAGCAATTTGGGTTTAGCAAGACAAGYCAGCCTTCAGTTTCAGGAGGTGTTYTAAGGCTCCATAAGATCCTTCTTACTAATCAGAAATACCTTGAGATAGTAAGTACTAGGTCTGGGCAGGCTACTTTCATCTGATTTTATTTGGATTCCATAAAAATGCACAGTCAAAATGTCTTTTTTTWAAAATAAAGTTGCCTATTTTCTTGCAGTCTTTCTGCTGCTGTCTGAAATTGGCATTTTTACTGCAGTGTTCTCTACATGTACACTGGAAGGAGTGAGAGAGGACTAAGTAAATCTGCATTCAAGTGTCAGATATGACACTGAGTTTCTCTAAAGCCTTGGGCGTAGCTGTTGATTTGCTTTGGTCTCTCGGACAGAGGTAGTGGTGCTGAGATGTGCTTGAGGTCCAAGGATCAAAGTATTGATTGCATTTCGTCACTAAATCTTCTTATTCTTGTGCCCAGTCCTATTCATTGTCTCTGTTTTATAATRTTAGTATTGGGGATTTCTTGCAGGTATTTACCAAAAGTGCAGAAAAAWTCGAAATTTTGGGCATCTGTGAAGTGACACCATCTTGAGGGCAACGTTTGCCATGGCGATAAAGGCCTTGGACACTGGGGCTCTCATGCTCCCCATCCTGCTGGTCCTGTTTTACCTTTGCTGTGCTTATAGCAAGTGATGATGATGGGTTACAACATCTTGGTGACATAGCAGTAAAATTCATAAAGTTTTACAGAAGTAAAAGGAAACCGTGGTTACATGTGGGTGGCTGTGACTGGACAGAGTAGCTTCTCTCACGTAGTCTGTTGTCCATCTAATGGGCAATTCTTAGGTAATTTTGTGTTTTAGTCACTGAACAAARATCCAGGAGGCTCAGATAAGCAAACAGTTGATAGAAAGACCCAGAATAGCTGCAAGGGCGACAAATCACTCATTTTTTTTCTGTTTTCATTTTCCATTCATACCACCTCGTTTCTGTCTGGGCTCTGCTTTGGTTTGTGAAACACTATCTCTTTTTCTCTGTGCAAAGAGGGTGCTACTTTCTGTAGCACCTGTGCCACACTTGGAAGTTAAAAGTAGTAGCTGCCAGTTAACTAA